CCCCGCGATTATCTGAATAGTTGTCCGATGCGACGCATCGCTGACCGTTTTCTGTTAGGCCATACCTAGCTCAGCGACGCCGCGGTCTTTGCTCATCTCAGCGAATTCGCATCGCTCATTTGAAGTGAGTCTCAGATAATCGCCGGGGGCAGGCGGTCCGCAAACTCGCGCTTTTCTGCAAGCGGTCAGCAGGATTGGGGCGTGGCTAAACCTTCAGCGAGCGGTACTTCCTTTACTGACTAATGTTCTGCCAGCGCTCAGATAATCGCCGGGGGCAGGCGGCCATGCGAATTTTGAGCAAGCGCGCACCGGAAAAATAGTTCGTTGATTTTTTGCCGCCCGCTTGCAGAAATTTGGAAGAAAAGTGGCGAAATTAAAGACGAATGCTTGAAGAACAATCGCGGTTTCTTTATGGATTAGCTGCGGCGCAGTGGCCGCATTCTCGCGGACTTTCCGCGAGAGTATGCAAAAATTTCGGGGGCCGCACGGTCCTTTGTGGAGGACCGCGCAACCCCCAGGTACTTTCTGCTGGGAGAAAGTACCTCAAACTTGAGTAATTAAACCAACGGTGACACTTCTGCCACACACAGTCTTACCTGCGCTCGACGTACGCACGAAAATGCCTAAAAAGAGTCCGAGCGCTTGCTGAAAGTTTGGCCAGCGCTCGCTGAAAGAAATTATTTGCCGAGCGCTTGCAAAGAATGCTGTATTGCTGCCCGCTGGCAGAATATGCGACCCTAAAGGAAGTGCCGCCCGCTGAAGGTCTAGCCACGCCCCAAAATTCTGCTGACCGCCTGCAGAAAAGCGCGAGTTTGCGGACCGCCTGCCCCCGGCGATTATCTGAGCGGGTAGCAACACAGAATTTTCTGCAGGCGCTCGTCAAATAATCTCTTCAGCAAACGCTGGCCGAACTTTCAGCAGGCGCTCGGACTCTTTTTACGCAGTTTCGGGCTTACGTCGAGCACAGTTAAAACTCTGTGTGGCAGAGGTGTCACTGCTGGTTTAATTACTCATGTTTATGGTACCTTCTCTCAGCGGAAATTACCTAGGAGCTGCTCGGTCCCCCATAAAGGACCGCGCAGCCCCGGAAATTTTACATAATCTCGCGGAAATCCGCGAGAATGCTGTCACTGCGCCGCAGCTAATCTTTTAAGAAACAACGATTGTTCTCCAAGCATTCGTCTAAAATTTCGCTAGACTTATAACAAATATCTGCAAGCGGACCGCAAGAAATCAGAGAACTATTTTTCCGGTTCCCGCCTGTCCATAAATCGCATGGCCGCCTGCCCCCGGCGATTATCTGTATGATAGTCCGATTTTAGTATTCTTGAATCTTCCAGCGGAGTCTCTTCGCAAAGGTGTAAAGCAGCACGCATTGCCCCTAGTGGAATTCAGCGAGGAGCTTTCGATAGCACTTCTTGTATAAATTACGGAGCGTTAAAAGTTGCCGCAGACTTCTTTCAAAAGGAAATAGAAAGGCTGATGAATTTAGAAAAAAACCTTGCCGTTCTAAATCTTACTCACTCTAACCCTAAAATATATAGCTCTCTTGCCAAGCAGATGCGATTTTCGTAATCAACAGGTCGGATAAATTCTAAGAGCAAATTTTCCGAGATGTTAGGGTTATCTCATTTTTTACGCTCTGAAGCAGAAGATGGATTTTGGTCAAAATGTTGATTATCTTGACTTGTAAGGAATCTTCACTCAGAGAGGTTTTTGGACACGTCGCGTTTACCAATATCTTTGTCTTTGATAAATACAGGGGTTTTTTTGCTGAGATATGGCGAGGTAACTGCAACTGAGTCAAGAACGTTCATAACCTCGCCTGCAAAAAACTGCCTACTTTTTCATGGGTTAAAGTTACTAGAAACTGTGTCATCGAAAGGTGCTCGTCTCAGGTTACAGCCGAGTTACGAGCCTACGAAAACGTCCTCATGGATTTTACCCAAAATATGAAGATCGCGTACTTACTTCGTCAAAATCCCACTGTTCTATGACACTCTGGTTGCAAATATTATGCTTCGCCCAAAGGATCCCACTGTATTGAATATGGTAGTTGTGTGTGCTTCAGCTGCCTAATCGTAACTAGAGCTCAGATCTACTTAAGTATCAAATCCAAAACAGGACCATTAAGCGATGTGAACAGATTTGGTCAGCGTGTTATGCAACTACTTACGATGGAATCGACAAGTATGAACCTTTACATTTCGGGTAAAATTCATGAGGACGCGTTTTCGTAGGCTCGTAACTCGGCGAGTTTTACAGACTCGAGCCTGAGACATGCACCGTTCGATGACACAGTTCCCAATAACTTCGACCTTTAAAAGCAAGCAGGCAGTTTTACGCGGGAAATGCAGGCGAAATTACGAACTTTTGTGACTCAGTTACAGTTACCTCGCCATATCTCTGCAACCCCCCCCCCCTCCCTGTATTTCTCAAGGACCACGGTATTGGTGAGCGGCGTATCCAAAGAGCACACTAAGCGAAGTTTCCTTGCATCAAGATCATCAACATTGTACCAAAATTCATCAAGCTTCAGAGCGCAAAACGAGAAAAAATGAAATAATCCGAACATCTCGGAAAATTTTTTCATAAATGCCGACCTGTTGATTACGAAAATCACATCTGCTTGGCAAGAGAGCTTCATACTGTTTCAAGGTTATGGTGAGTAAAATTTAGAATGGCATGATTTTTCCAGAATTTACCAGCCCTTCTATTTGGAAAGAAGTCTGCAATCTGCTCTGCGGCTACTTGAAGCTCCGTAATCTACATATGAAGTACTATCGAAAGGTCCTCGCTTGAATCCACTAGGGGCAATGCGTGCTGCTTTACGCCTTTGCGAAGAGACTCTGCAGAAAGGTTCAAGAATACTGAAATCGGACTATCAGTGACATGCTTTAAATCGAAGGCTCGTCTTGATGAGCTAGGCATAATCTTTTTTCGGGTTCAGAATATATTTTTCCGAAGGAAGCTACGGCGAGTAGAAAATGAAAACGCGTGATTTTTCCAGATTTCTCCAACGTTTCTATTTCTTTTGGAAAAAAAGTCTGCGGCTATTTTCTAACGCACTATAATCTACAAGAAAGTACTATCGAATAGTACTTACTGGTGTCTTTTATGTTGGATAGGCGCTGCGTTACATCTTTGCGAGACCTCCGCAGAAGAATTTGAGAAAACTGGAAATGGAATCGAGGACATGCTGTATATCAAAAGATAAGCCTTGACGAGCTGAACACAATGATGCTTCCGGATTCAGGATATATTCATCCCGAAGGAAGTTATAGCGCTGCGTATTTTCGCGTTTCGCGTCATCCCGCGAAATTCGGAAATCCTGGAATGTCGCGGACTACCGAGGAATTCCCGGAATGCTACAGTCACAAAAATTTTGCATCTTATTTTTATGGTTGCTTTGTATAAGGTTTTTCAAGGGTTCACTAGATAAAGTATGAGGTGAAAATGCGCATCCGACTGTTTGTTCTTTGCTTCGTTCACAATCGAATTATGCAGTGTGATATTCAGGGTCAAGCGTGGGATGCGGCACGCCACACTTGGGGGGTCGTATTGAGGAGTCATAAGGGGAGGGGGTCGTAGTTGGGTAATCTGATAATAGTGATAACATGATATTCGTATCATATCCATAATTAGCATGTCAATTAACCCCTGTAGACAAAGTGTGAGCGAATTCTGAAGATTCAAGATACTAGGCCACCTACTAGGCTACCTAAATGAAATGGTCAAATTCCAACATGGTTAACTTTGTTTCAAAGGTGAATTAGCTATCCGTTTTTGCACTCAAGACAAAGCACTACTCCTTCTTTGTCCATCTCAGGACGCTTCAGAAGACCTGCAAACTGTGGAATTAGAAGCCAACCAAAATCTCGTTCTTCCCATTTTTCGCTTTTGATCGCTGTGCTTTCACCAAATATTAGTTGGAGCTAAGAAGACAAATCAGGCTCCAAACAGTCCTGTGGAATCTACAAGGTTTAGGCTATCGATTCATACAAATATTGTCCGCTGAAAAAGGTTTTTTTTTGATATAGTTAATGGGGTGCGGCACACCCCCTTAACTTGCCTTCAAAATCCAGAAAGCGTTCCATTGCTGGTATGAGTATTGAGCACATGGCTTCTTCTTGCTACTTTGGAAATTTGGAGCCGAACGCCCCACTCGTAAGAAAATTATGGCCCTTTCAATATGCCCATTTAGATCAAAATCAGCCGTCAAATTACGTGTGACTGTAAAGTGCAGTCACAGAAAATCGGGAGTACAGCTCTCAGAAATCTGAAAACTCTCTAGAAAAAGATGGTGTCCTCCAGAATGTCACACTTTGAGGTCCAGAGGTTAAGAGGGGGAAGAAGGGGTCGAGGGCTTTCATGGGAGGGGGGGGGGTTGAAAGACTTGTGCCTGACCTATTTCTCAACTCTGGTAATGCTGTCTTAGGTATATAGTTGAGGGGGGGGGGGGGTCTTATTAAGACAGCAATCAGGGGGGGGGGGGTCGTAACCAGCGATCGTGTGCCACACCCCTTGCTTGTCCCTGGTGATATTGTCAGCACACAACAAATGTGTTCCCAAAAATCTTCCGTTCAAAAAAAATTCTATCAGCCTCTTTTTATATTTATACGCCAATTTGTGCACTTTCCGATAGCTAAGGATCGAAGAACAAAAACAGGACAATACGAAAATGGCAGGAGGGGGGGGGGGGGAGGGAGGCTTTCAAAATTGACATTTGAATTTTGAGTATAGTATATCCTGCTGCATCGTGAACAAGCTGTTGGAATCGGGAAGAAATTCTGCATTAAATGCAGCTTCAAGTGATTGTTCATCTCTACTTGACGGGATGCGCAGGTGGGTTTAAAGAATTGGAAACTTTTACACTGACTAATAGTAGCCTGCCTAACCTTGGGTACAAGTCTTCGTGACTTTGGAACTTGACTGTGATTTTATCTCCACCTTTTCTTGTTTTTTTTTCTCATTACTATACTTCAGAACATCAATACAATCACCGATAGCTATTTATTGCTTCTTATACGCATTCAGCATAGCATAGACTCTGTTTGGATATTTCGTTGATAACCTCGATCAATTTGCTGACTAGGAAATAAGCAATAAAAATTATAAATCTTCAGTGGCCCTAGGCACAGAGGGATCTGAATGCATGGTGCCGAGTGACGATCTTGACGATCTTGACGTATCTAGGGCTAAAAGCTAAATTTATTGAGACGAAATGCTCTAACTTCTCAATATCACCTGTGAAATAACTCGTGCTTGTCGTTGGTTGCTGAAGACTTTGTCTAGAATCGTTGCTGGGGCTAAATGATGCATTAGAGTTGTTTTCCCAGAGTTTATAGAAGAAGAACAGCGCAGCCTGTGTACTGCGATTTCATCTCTTCATAAACAACCGCAGTCACGATTCTGTTTGGTTTTAATGTGAGGTTGACAATTCAGAGGAAGAATCTTGGATATCCCTGCTTACCTTACGTTATCAGTGGTAGGGTCAAAGTGACGAAAGAAGTTGGAGCTCGTTTTTTGTTGGCATACAATACCGCTCGTAATTTGTGAAAAAAAAAATTGGCGACGGCAGCCGAAGTTAGACGCCCGCCGCCTAACTTTGTCGCGTGACGCGGTGCTTGCCGCCTAACTGCGGCGGCCGCTGCTTAACTTCGGTGGCCGCCGCCAATTTTTTTCCACAAATTACGAGCGGAATTGTAAAAGAGGCAGTACTCCACTGTTCATATTTGTAAGAGGAAAAACTGGTTGTACTCAAAAAAAAAACACTGTGCATTGGTATCCTACGCTCCATTCCCATTTAATAATACATCGTTCAACGTCAGGCTCATGTCATCTGTGAGAAATCAGGAAAATTCAGTTTTACCTTGAAAATGCCTTTTTTGAATTTTTTCAATTTGCAGATTGTATGAGTTCCGTATATACCAACTTGCAATTCTCTGCATCGTAAATGCTATCAAGACAATCATACCTCTTTCCTACTGTGCTTGCGTTTTCGGTAAATGTGACTGATACCGAGTTAGTGGAATCTGTGGAACGAGGTTACCAGCAACAATCGTAGTTCCAAATATGTAGTTCTCACCTGGTGGATGGTCCACAGCTTCGTCTGAATTGGACAGCAGCCCTTGAAGATCGGTTAGAAGGCGGGGTGGATCGTGCCTAAATGTAGAGTCAATTTCTCAAACACGCCTCTTACTGTCACACTCAAAATCTCATTTTAGGCTGCATATCGATGAGGGGGAAACATATGCATTCGTTTTCTTTCAAGTGAAGTTACTAACGTAGTAACTATAGTTTCCTGATCCAGCACATTCATCAACGATGGATTTGTCACAGCCGACCAGTCAATTGTTTTGCTCTCGTCGGAAGTGTCTTGGGTACTCTGCTCTGGCATAGTTCCTGTTGCAAAAAACTTGTGTAAGTGTCATGAGGAAAACAGAAATGACCTTGTGAATCGGGTGATCTTTGACAACTCAACGTTACAGCTGGCATGTTGGTATCCGGTGATACTGTAGTGCGGTAGTGACCGCCGGGTGTAGTTGGAGACTTTTCCTTGCGTGGTTTTTTCATCGACTGCAAGGAGAACTGCACATGCTTGGCGATCAAAGCCAAGTAGACGATGATTATCACCCTGATATAAAATTTTGTCAGAAATCATCTTTGCGCTACTTTTGTGCATGGTACTTAATGAAAATAAAATATCCTTCAATTTCCAGGAAAGATTTGCAATTTGAGCAAGCGATGTGAAATCTCCTAAGACCATTGGACATTGTAGTAGTTTTCTGCGTCACCCAACTTGTCACGCCAGATACAAAAACGAGATTTTGATGTATTTGCTGTCAAGTACTATACCGCTCACATTTTTTGAAAAATAGACGCGAATGTATGGACATGTATGGACATTTCGCTATGTCCATACATATAGCGACATGTTTCATTTCATTTCATTTATTCATAGGCATAACCCTATGTTTCAACAACACGAACTATAGGACATCAACAAAAAACCACAACAACAACACATAAATATCAAAGATCACCTGAACTCAATGGAAGATCAGAGTTAATGGCACAACAACTCAAATTGCAAGATCATTCTATAATAAAGAATGGCAAGGTTTTGCACTTACATGTTGACAAGTTGCGGACTGAGGCGAGTGACTGCCGAGGGTGCGGAGGGTGCAGATTGTCTACAAGGCTAGCGTGTTTTCGTAGGGGTACAGAAGGTGGTAAATATCGTGTCTCCTCGAGGAAGGCGTCCAAAAGGGGTGCGGTTCTTAAGTGCAAAAAGGCTATAGTTGGGAAGGGGGCGACACTCTCGTAAGGTTGCTAACAGTACCCCCCCCCCCCTTCTTTCGCAAGTTTGAACTCTGCCGGTATGAATGATTCGGAACTCGCTGTCTAGCGTAGACATGCTTTAATAGTTCCTCAACGTTTACCCTTCGACTGCTCACATTTTCATTTTCCTGCTTAAGTTCTTGGCTGCCCATAATTAGTTAAAGTTCATAGCTGGCATAGTTGGTGAGAATTGATGAGGACAGTTCTCCGTTCTTGAAATAAGTTGGTAAGTCGTAAGGCTATTCTTATAGGTCTCTGCAATCATTTCTCACAACTCCAGTCTGTTCGCTGTTCATTGGGCATATCTTTCAATGCTTAATCTGTTTATAGGGCTCTTTCTTGATTTGTAGGTGCCAGTAAGGCAGTTCTACTAAAAATATTGATCTGTAAGCTCCCCTGAGGAGTTTTTTCGACAATTATCCAGTTAGCGGTTATTTGTTGGGTGGTTCCTTCTCAAAGTATCGGTCCGCAAGGGGAACATTTCATTTTCATATTTATAGTTCTAAAGGTGGACCATAATGCGCTTTTTTTTCAGATATGAATTTGAAGAGGAGCGGAAGGGCTCGTAGAATCGTCATACAATTATCGTTCCATAAGCTTCTCATCAGGCACTTTTTAGGCTCGTACTTGTTTCTCAAAATGCTGATGTATAAGCGACTAGGGCACCTCCTAAAATTGTCGGTCTGTGTGCGGCGCGTAGAGGAGTTACTTGTGAAAGTTGGTTTGTATGAGGCGTAGATATACTGTAACCTGTTCTAATTATTTTTTCTCTCTCAGAAGACCAATTCATAAGGGACTCGGAAAGCGCTCTTTCTCAAATATCGGTCTTTGAACGGCTGCAATTTTTTTCGAGATATTGGTTTGAGGGTTTCCAGCTCAATTCTTGATATATTGGTCTGTGAGCGCCCATAGAGCGGTTATTTCCCAAAATGCTGCAAGAGGCCCATGGAGCGATTCTTTACAAATTATCGTTGGCAAGCCCCCTCCCCCCCTCCCCGCTCGGCCGCTCCTTTTAGAAATTATCGATTTGCAGCGGCACATAGAGCAATTTTTCTTGAAATATTGGTCTGTAAAATCCCATAAGGCAGTCCTTTCTCAAATTATGGTTTGTAGGTGGCCCATAGAGCAGTTTTATCACAAAATATTGGTTGTATATAGGTTCCAAGGGCGGTTCCTCCTCAAAATACCATTGTGTAGGCCTCTAACAATAAGTAGCTGGCAGCTTCTTTCTCAAGACTTCGGTCTTTGGCTGTCCATAGAGCAGATTATACGTGAGTGCCTCGTAGGGCAAAACAGTTTGTAGGGGCTGTAGATCTGTAATCTGGAATATCTGCTGATCCCCCATAGGGCAGGGCTTCCTGTAATTATCGGTCTGTGGGGGAAGGAAGAGGGGGGAGGGTAAGATAGCCTTTTCTCAGAATATCGGTCTTACAAGGGAAGTGTCAGAACTCGCAGTGGCCTTTTGACATGAAATAAGTATCATCTGAAGCAGCTTGAAATGCTGATTCCAAAGCAGCCTTTCTTAGCTGCAGAACTAATCTAGGACGAGAGTTATTGAATTTAATTTGCGGGAAATTTACAACGCTGAGAATAGCCAAAAATTAAAGCGAACATTTTTTCGGGCTCAAACAAGATAAAACAGTCCAACAATGTTTAACGTAATCCTACGCCTTCATCAAAGTCATGCTGTGGTGCTTAAACAAGCAATTGAAAGGCTCCCGTGATCACAGAGTACTTCAAACAGTGTAAAATTTAATGTTTAAAATGCCCATAACTCGCGACCCAGATCAGTTCTGCAGCTAAGAAAGTTTGTTTTGGAATCAGCATTTAAAGCTGCTTAAGATGGTACCCATCCCATGTCAAAAGGCCACTGCGACTTCTGACACTTCCCTTGTTAGGGCAGTCTCAGCACGGTTCTTTCTCCAGTAGGGTTTGTTGGGAGAGGAACGACGGAGGAAGGGGAAGGGGGTTCTTGTAAACCTCGGTCTGTAGGGTACTGTGAGTAACTTCTCAAAACATCGGTCTGTTAGTGGCCTATAGGGCATTTTCTTTCTATAACTACCACTCTGCAGCGGCGCATAGGGCAGTCATATTCTCTAATATATCGATGGTAGTTACGTAAAGATATGTCTCAAGCAGCTCATAGCTTCTGTTGTTTCAAAATACCAGCTTGTGCTACACATAGGGCGAGCGACTGCTTCTTGCAATAATAGACTTTGAGCGGCTCTTAGGACAATTTTTGAAAGTTGGTTTGAAGATTTGAAGGACAATTTCTTCTTGATATCGGTCTGTGTGCGTCCATAGGGCAACCTTTTCTGGAAAAGGTCCGTAAGCGGCTCGTAGGATCATTCTACATGAGCAGTTCTTTTTTGAAAATATCTTTTTTGAAAAATACCAGTCTGTAAGCAGCCCACAGTGTAGTCTTGTCAAAATAAGGGTCTGTAAGCGGCCCATAGGGCATTTCCTTCTAATGACTAATTACCGTCCGCGGGCGGACCATAGGGCAATTTTTCCGTCTGTAAGCAGCTCAAAGGCTTCCCCGCAATATTCGATTTGTAGGGGGGGGGATTGTATGGCAGACTTATCCCAGAATACGATATCATTTGTAGGGGTATGAAGGGCACTATTTTCTCAGATTACCGCTCTGTAGGAGGCATGTAGGAAAGTTTTTCTTGAAGTATTCTTTTCCAGGATCGTGGGGCAGCTCTCACATATACCGCTCTGAAGGCGCGGAGCAGTACGTATTTGCAAAAAGTGGTTTAAAGGCGACGCATAAGGCATGAGAATACAATGCTTGTTTTCGCTGCCGGAATTTTTCGGGAACTGAGGTACTTTCTGAGTGTTTAGCTGAGTGTAGACTACATCGTCGCTTTGAGAGTCGACTGCTTGGTGACTCTGTTGAGATTGGTGCAAACATTTGACCCAAAGAAAATTTTTAGAAGAGAGTCAAAAGGTATCGAATATTCAGCAAAGAGGATTCTCACAATCAAAAGACTCAAAAGTCATTTGTTACTCGGTTTCAGTTGCCCAGAACCCTAAAAAGGTATAAAACGTAGAGGTTATTGTGCTGATGACTATATGTACCCTAGCATACTTGCAAGCGGCCCTTAGGGCCGCTAGTAATGTGAAAGAATAAGTAGATCAGATAGATTAGCTATCATTGGACCGCAGATACTTCCTGAGAACAGCCTTAAACTGGGATAACTTTGCAGGAAACATGTCCATACATGTCCATACATCTCCATACATTCGCGTCTATTTTTCAAAAAATGTGAGCGGTATTGTATTATTTACTACAAAACGATATCAAAGCCTTCCAGATGATCCGATAAACGACATGTAACGAGCACTTAGTTTTCGATGCTTGCAGAAATTTCTCAAATCGTTCACAACAAAGATGAAATCATTCATGATGACACAAACAAAATCTTGCTAATGTAGTAGCCGAATTCTTCTCACTAGGACTCAAAAATCAGATTACTTGTTGAGCTTTTCTGGAAGGCATACCTCGTGCAACAGTCGCAGCGCGATTTGGCAATGCTCCAGTTGTTCATAACTTATCTTATCACATTCAAAATATGCACAATGTGAGTTATTTTATCAATAAAGGTTGTACACTCTGTGCATTCAATTGCCCTAATTTCACGAGTAGAAGACGCAACTTTTTCGATTTTTTAAGCGAACCCTTCCGCCGCCTCGCTGTGTTTCGGAAAACGAAACTTGTACCGCACGATGCTAAGCAATACGCAGCACTGTGAAGTTCATTCATAAAATCGTGACGACGGATTTGACTGCGGTCTTTGCGCCCACAGGAGCATAACGCTCCCATACCAAAAGACATCACCTTAACGCTCAGCTCTCACTTCCAGTGATCAAGTACAGTCATGCCTAAGCAGAAAAACCAATCGAGAAGAGATTAAAATAAAGAAAAGGCGATTGCCGGAAGGTGCGTGCGTGTCGCGCCGGTGCGCCATCGTCACGATTTTTCGAATGCCCTATGAAGGGTCCTTTGGTCTCGAGATTTTCTGGTATGTTCAGGCCGGTCGAAATTAGAGAAAAAACAGGTGCGTCCTGTACTCGTGAAAACAAGGTACTAGCGAAGATATCTAGCAAACTGCCAAATCGCATGGCGACTGAAATTGTAGGAGTGGATTACTGTCTTTTTTAACTTTCCAAATCCTGTCTAGCTGGTTTGTTAGAAAGACTCACACTAGGTTCAGGTAGATAACAAGTAGCACTCGCGCCATGGGATCAGTCCGAAACTTGCGTAAAAGTTTTCTGAATGATTTGTCAGCGTCTTTCGCTGACGAAGGTACATGAGCCTTGAAGTCCACTTTTCGCCCAAGGATGTTTATGGAAAATTTTTTCTGTAAAATGTGTTATGTGACTGATGCCCTAGACGTTAGCGTCATTTCATCACTTAAGATAGAACCGCAAGGAAAAAAGAGCACTTACATTGCCTTTCAAAAACTCCTGGATTTTTGTGATAACGCCAGAGCGGCCGACGAAAAACTCCCTAAATAGCGCTCAGAAAGCGTGATTGTTGCAAGATATAAAATATTTAACAGAGCCTAATGCGGAGTACGTGTGCAATTTTTTTTAGTTCACTCAAATATATTTCTTTTTTCCGCCCTCAATTTCTAACAAGCACACCTAGCGTCAACTTTGCAAAGTAAAAGATTTTGGTACCGAAGGCTTTTTCTTCATGTAAAGTGATATTAGAGGGTTAGAGGAATCAGTGAAGCAGGGAAGGGTTCTAGACCTGCTATTTGAGGCCCTATCATGCGTTAAGACATTCGCAATAATCGTGTTTATCAAACTGGAGCCGAAAAACAAGAAAATCTACCTCATACCTCAAGAGTCGGATCACATATGGAAAATTCTAAGAATTAGTCGAGAAGCTCCTGTTCAGTCATACTAAAAGTATACACACTGTCAACATGTCAACACTCGCTGTGATTTCATGGCTAGGAATGAAGAAGATAATTTGAAAATGGCAAAGTCCGCAATTAGCAACTTAGTCCCCCCTCCACATACAAAGTTTTATGCTACAAACCTTCGAAAGCGTGACTGTAGATTTACGTACTTTATAAACTATATATTCACACCTACTTCATCGAGAAATATCGATTTTAGCTTCAAAAAGATAATTACCATTATTTCTATGACAGCCTTATAGTCTCGCCACAGCATTTCAAACCATTTCCATTAGCCGATTTTAACTCTTCAAAGTTTTTCACTCTCTTTTGAAGCGTAATCTTGCCGTTTTATTTCCAATAAATCAGGTTTAGTTTCTTATGATGAAGTACGCAAGAACTTGTTGGGTTTCGTGCGACCGAAAACTCAACATTATTTTTTGCCTGGACTTCTTCTTCACGATACAAAACAGAAATCATGGTGCTTGTCCTCATTAGATACTTCAGAGAAAGTAGGCAAAAATATTGAAAACTTCTCACTCTCAGTCAACCTTTCCGCAAATCGGGTAGAAGAACAATAGATGAATAATCTAATTTGTGTTGTATGAAGATTTTCTTTCGTTCCAGCGTTCGTATCATCGGAAAAATTTCACTTGTGATTGTCAAGAAGTTCCTTGAATGTGCGACCCACTTTTTTGCTTCGTGCAATTATAGCTAAACCTCAACACGTTGACGGCCGTGTGCATACGCGCGTATGCACGCCCTGGCTCCCGCTCAGCACTTGCGTGCATTAGTTTTTCCTGTGTAAACGAAAAAGTTCTGAGGTAACTTTTGTGCAGTAGTAATACTAGTTGTCTGATTGTCATATAGAGGGCACAGGGCATCGCGGTAGCTGCTTTGAAGTTTCAACCATAGGTTTAGATATTCAGTCCTTTTTGAGGTGGTCCAGAATGCCTCGGTCGCCAACGTGTTAAATTTTCATTTCAAAGTTCTAGAAAATTTCGGTGCATAGAAACTAAGCAACTTTTGTTCAGTACAAATCTTCTTTAGCTTAAAATGTTTTTGAAAGCCCATATTTTTCGAAAATGCGTAAAATGCATCAAACCCTATAAAATCTTTGGAATTCAGAAGCTTTGAAGGTTGCCCATTACCGAACCTCAGAATTCCAAAATAATCGAGCGTTTGCCTCTTTGTTATATCATAACTTGAATATTTTTGGAGACAATATGCGATGCTATAGAATTCAAAAGGCAAACGCCCTAGGTTCAAAAATTTCGCAGCCCTAGAGGTTATGGAAAGATGTGGAAAGCATAGCTGTTGAAAACAAGAAAAATTGTGTTGAGTAGCGTTTAAAGTGCATGTCTGTTATCTATTGTGCTTCTATCTGATTTGAGCATATTTGAGTCCAAGAAGAAATGTAAACCTAATACTGCTCCTGAGATCCAACAAGATAATTTACTCTACCTAGTAAGATAGAAAAAGTCCTTACTTTATGCTCGTACACATCTTCTGGAGAAAGCTTGGTACTGTGACTTTGTGTCCGAATAGTGTAACGACACGTCTGCTTTCAGTTTCCTCTTGTGGCTGCAAATTGATAGATCAGCACTTTGTCTATGGTAGTACAGCTAAATAAGCTAATGCAGAGGATCCACAGAGATATCTGCGAAATTCCAATATTTTCTAACAGTTTCAATTTCATCGAAAAAGTGGAATACGGCACCATTAATTTGAAATGTGTGCTGAAAGTTCTTCCTTACTTAAGCTCATACTCTCTTTGATTTGATATGTCTATCTTTCATTCATGGTATTACCTATCTGGTGATCCGCACTGCCTTTTTTGCCTTTTTTGTGAGGAGCCTATTGAAACCATAGTACAGCCGCGACTAATTTTAGCCATTTGGTGTAGCCCATGAATGCTACAAGGACAAAATGTTTTTTACCTAATCAAGAAAAACTACATAAATAGTGTGTTCTTGATTGGATATAGGTTGTTGGTGACTGGACATTGAAAGTTTTACATTAAAATGAAAATGCAAAGGAAATCATGAGTGTTTTTGTAATAAAGTTTTCGTAATTTTTGATAGTCGAAATCATCACAATCACTCAAGTCTTCCACTTCCAGAACAAATGCCAAGCGAAGTCCGCAGAGACCGTAGTTTTTTCTGATGAGATGTATATTATGAGATGCATTGTGAAGAACTAATCTCATTTCTACCCTCATTATCTGCGAAACAAACTACTGAAGAAAAGAGAGTCCTTTCCAAACTAAATTCATGTACTACTTAATAATGGAAATCTTTGGTGTTAGTCGAGGGCTATTTACTGCTACGGAACAACATCCGGGCGTACTATCAATGTATTTATTCTGTTCAGTTTTAGTAGGTACAACCCAGAAAATCCTGCATCGATAATTTTAACTTTTCGTAATAGTGTTGGTCAGTCTCATAAATGTAACAACTGTCTTTAAAAAACTGTTTCGCAGAAAAAAAGCTAGACTTAAAATTAGTAAAAAGCAACCTATGGGTACATCTTCTAGTGAATGACCGCGGTCAAAAGCGTTACTCTTGTGAAGACGACTGCTTATGCCTATTGATCAGATCGAATTTATAGACTAGAGGTTAAAAATATAGTGCACTAAAAAATCTGAACATTTCCAAACTCAATTATTCTATAAAAACGATAGCTCTGAACAGAAAGTTTTGCAAGAAAGACTTGAAATAAGTATATTTGGGCCAACCACTACAAGTTTTCTTTGTGGGAATGCACAAATGTGATGATTTCGCGGGCTGTGAATTAAATCAAATCAAACTAATTTCGATGGCATGTCTTTAGCTTGAGAGCGAGATCGCTTGGAAGAGTTCGAGAGAAACACACGCGCATACTATACAGCCTAAACCAGTGCAAGCCAAAAAACATTGGGTAGCGAAGTAATGAAGGAAAGTCAGATTTTTAGGAATATTTTGCTAATCATGTTTTCACTCGGCCGAAGAGGACGAGCGTTGTCGTTTGCCTAGTGGAGTTGGTAGTCCCAAAAGAGCTATGCAATGACCATTCTAAAAGTTTGAAATCCAAAAAGTTTTATGTTTGTCAAGATGAAAAATCAGCATTTTGAGTGTATAGCATTGATTCCATTACACTCGGTGTCTCGCTGAGATAATGATGGCCTCTGCGTTTATGTTGTATTTGAGTACTACTGATGATAAAGATTTGCAAAAGGCAACGATGTTTGACACTTCTGGTCAGGAGGATCATTTTTATAAAAAGTTCGAGCTATGAAGCCAACCTATGCAGAATCATTTCCGCTCAGATCTAGCTAAACAGACGCTTTCTTACAGCCTAATTCTAATACCTCAAACCTAAAAATGAAAGGTGATAATGAGAGCAATTCAAAAGGGTAACTCACAGAGGAACGAGTTCTTCGAATCCATTCGCGTTTTAGTTTCGTTTCGTACGCCTTGAAAGGTGGCAACGAATGACAGATAGCGAAGAGGAGAATAAAGAGAAACAATAAAAATCTCATATTGTTGCTGGAACGAGTGAACGAATGTTGCATCATCAAAAATCAAATAAATGTTAAAGTAGACTAACATTTACGTTTTGATAAACGGAGTCGCAGCACAACGGCTGCGAACTGCTCAGCATTGTTAGCCGATTCGATCGACATGGAAGGAATGCGACCTACTGTCTGTAACTTTCTGTAAGATCAAAAGTTGATTAGAACACTTGATTCACTAAATAGCTGGGAAAAATACTAAACATTCGCACGTGTCGAGAACTGCGACAACAACAACAACTCTCTTTATTCCATGAAGCGCACCTATCTGTTCTTAGCTTGATATGACAGGACCGAAAATCTTGATCTGCTACAATTTCATTTCGAACCTCTTTCTAAGGAACTACACATTGTTGTTTTATGAGGTACATATAAGCTGTCTCAATCACAGTTCTAGCCTCGCAGCCGCCTCGCTCGAGCCTTTCGCGTTCGAGGACGTGTTTTCACCCAGGACGAATTGCGAGGATACGCTTGCGAAGGCGACGCACGCCCGCGCGAGGCGGGGCCGGGGATCGGAGCCGCTGGAGCTTCGATGGTTAGAACATCAAGTCACAATTGACGGAAGGCCACGAAGTCGGGCAGACTATCAGTTGCTGATTTAATAAAACCTTGAAGCTCTGGTTGCAAACATCTACCTATCTGAAAACACTTCAAGATAAAATCTCAAGCATTTTTCAGGGCGAGAGTTGGACGAACGCGTAGCACAAGAACAAACGCTTCAGTTTTCTAGCGCTCAAATGCAGTAGCGGTTAAGCATGGCTAGATAGATGTAAAGTATCTTGAAACTCATCACTGCTAGAGAGGCCAATGATTAACTTATGTAGTCGCGATCTTGCATAAATTTTTCCCCAAAGCACTTTAGTCTTGTGGCATTCCTTTGTCGATAGCGGAGTCTTGTATTCCGGTTTCCTTCAAAGCAGCTGCGATCCAGTCATTTTTGCAATGGGCTTGGGAAGCAGCTCAGTGGGGAAGCTCAGTGGAGATCTCTCCCCTACCCTCTACATACATAGTTGAACGGTTGCTCTCATGTTCACAAATAGTCAATGATGTGAGCTTCAATTTTACTTCCACCAGGAAGTTTACTTCGCAATAACGACACCGTTCTGATTGCAAGGCCTTTTCTTGCACATTACTTATAGGATTGGAGAATATTTTACGTGAAAAACAACTGCAAATGATTTCACTGACGATGAGCCAGCTAGAACCTAGTCAAGTTAGATGTCGTTTTGGAGGGAAAAGCGAATGGGAGGTCCTGACGTGGTCCAGGCGGAGCCTCGGGGAAAACTGCAGAGATTTGTTATGCTCCGACATTCTAGTATATAAAAAGCAGTATGACAAAATCTCAAATTTTTTTGTCATGTTCGTTCCAAGCATGCACATCAGCTTCAACAAATTGATAGTGGGTATGCTAGCTGCATGCTCAGCCTTGATTTGTCCACCGACACGCTGCCGTCGTGCCGGCAGCATGCTCTAACACAGCAAGAATACTAACAAACAAAAGCCCTGTTTGCATCCTAATCGCAATGATATTGCACCACATTTATTGTAAACATGCGTTTGAGGTAGCTTGAACCATTGTCCAACAATTCATGAGAATTTTTGAATCAAAGCCGTGCTAAACTTTTTTTGGTAATTTTCCGTTATCCGGACCCATTTTTTCAAAGAGCGATATTGCTTCTTCCCTTGTACCATATCTGGTCCCAACTTCACAGGATGGAGTGCCAACCTTCCTGCCACGTGTCAAAAAATTTGACATGTCATTTACATGTTTAACAGGTTTAACCAAGCGTTTGAGATGCCCTACCTAGCGTCGTAAGTTCAATCTGTTTTTCAGTCAATAATGGCCCCATTTTCGATGGAACAGTATCAAAAATGAAAATTATTATCATAATAACGTCGATATTTTATCAAAGAACAGATTAGACAGAAAAGTGGGCTAGGGTCCCATTATCTAAGTGACGAAACGAGCAGCAGCGAGGAACTTCAAGCCATCATGTATAGTCTTGTCTGGCTAAATTTGCATGGCGAAATTTTTGAAGAGAAAGACAATGCTGAATCATTGCTGAGAACAATCCAGATGTTTTAGTATAAGTTACAAATTGTTTTGCTCTTACAGAAAACAATTAAACAGCTACTAGCTGGTCGCAAGTGCTCTTTTATCTCACCAGAAATAATTTCAAAAAAAAAAACCCCATCAAAATGGACCAAAACGTGTCAATATTTTCCTGACACGTGGCAGGGAGGCAGTCCTCCTGGAATCTATGAGAAATTGTTCTCAAACTGAAGAACATATTTTTTTGAAAAATGGGTCCGGATAACGGAAAAGTACCCTTTTTTTCCACATTAGCTGAAACCGTTTCAGTCGGGTGCCAGCTAGGCTGGAACCGACTGAGCCTTTGCTCACATAATTTTCCATACTTTTTTGCATCAATTCTTTTGCACTTCGAAAGTCTTTATAAAAGCAAAAAACGGTTTCATAATATTTACTCTACGCTTTTTTGTAGCCTCAGATTATTTCCAGTGACGGCGCAATCTGTTTCAACTGTAGAGTGCGCTCCCAAGCGAATTAATGGCTAATGTTTCATTCACCGGATATTCGTGGGCATTTCTCCATTTCTTTTCCTCTTTCGTTTTCTTATGTTGTTTTGCCTCTCACGAGTACTGTTGGGTTATCGTTTTTAACTCATGCTCCAGGTGTCGCCCTGTCCCACGCCTTCAGATAGAGATCACGAGTCAGTGGGTATTGTAGTGTATTTCTACCGTAACTACATAGTTCGCCTAAATTACCGATTAAGATTGCAGCAGTGCTAAGGTATACTCGCCTGAAATGAAGTACACCGACTGAAGGAGAGTGGTGGCAGCCATGAGACGATTTTCAACAAATGATGTATAAAACCACATAGTCCGAACGACGAGTCGAAGAGAGTCACTTGCAAAATTTTATAGCTCATGTCTGCCAATCTCATCGATTCTAAAAGTGAGAAAATGATGAGTCTTTGCACTTGACACGAATTTCACTTTTGGGAGCCGTCGCAGCCAATATACTATTTACTTGTCATTCGGACAAGCTCACGACGAAATGACGTGACCTCGCAATCTTTTCTCGATGTGTCTTGTCATTATTCTATCACTTTATCTTACTTTGCATCTACTGAGACTTTTAATCGTTACTCTGCATAGAGGTGAGCGCTTGCTCGTCGCTAAATTGTAGGATTCATCTGTATAGCTAGAAATGTCTGTACGGGAGTTGACTGGGCCTAATTATTGGAATGTTTCAAAAGGACTTATCAATTTGAGTTGGTCACACTTTTTCAAAAATCCTAGACATACAGTAATTATCTGGACAATGCACATGAGCGATTAGGCTTATGACACTTGGAAGCAAGACCCGACATCAATTTCGTAAGTGAAAGTCAGGCCGACATGGTTGGCTGTTGTAATTTTCTATAGCAGATTTGAAAGGTTAGAAAAATAATCTTTTGTGGGTAGATGATAACCAGCATGAGACTGACAATTATGACAATTTGGAACCCTGTCATTGTGGTAAAAACAGAATCGCACAAACCATTTGGAGAAACTACCGTGAAATCCTGTTTCCCCCCCCCCCCCCCCCATTCCACACCTCCCTTCTTCCCGCCAAAGGGAAGATCTGCACTACATTTCATGGAAAGTGGGGATATTGGAAAGGCATTCGTCGGGAATGAGTATCATGATCCGTTCAAAGTTTGCCTTAACGGGGAAATGTTTTGTTTTACATTGCCATACCATATGAAGTCTTTGACTTAGCTCAACGCAACAAGAATGCTTGTAAAAAGGAAAAACTGCCAAATTCTTTTCCTGTGACCTCTCTATAAGCATCGACCGTCGTTTACAGAGAATCTATGTGAAATGATGTGATGCACTACTTACATGTTACTGCATATGACAAATGTGCAGACATGTCAGCATCACCGACCATTTTAGAAGCTCCAGGTACTGCAATAGCGATCGAAAAAGATCATTAAGGAATGGTCAGTGGCCTTTCATTTCACTCTACAACAAGGGCCCCAATTTTTTTGTGATCACGCTCCCCTCAAAAAAATTTTCAGATAATAAGCTTGCTCAATTTAGGCATCCAAAAGTCTCAGAGAGTATAACCGCTGCTCCCACCCGTTTAGTGAATTTTATGTATCCTCTCCCCCCTCTTCACCAAATGAATTTTTTTGGACCGCAACCGCCACATAAATAAGCAGAGCATATTTTTGTCATAATACATGGTTTTTTAGACTGCGTTCTCCGATGACTAGTTGATTTGAGACGTGAACTACATATTTTGAGCTGTAATAATGTCCTTGCACTGATCTCAGACAAGTGTCGTTTCAAATCTCTCGTTTTTGAGAGGGGGAAGCACTTATGAACTCGGTCCAGGCTTTCACGAAGAGGAAAGCACTAACGCTAGCAGATAAATGATTCACGCAAATCTGGTAACTTCCAAGCCAAAAGCCTAGAAAAGTATGAGCAGCCAGGAGCCTTGGTTAGCTCTAAACATGACAGTTCAGAATACGGATAATACAAGGAGTTCCAAAAAATGTGCCCACTTATTGACCGTTAATAACTCGCTTTATTCCATGTCTTTCACCGATTGAGTAGGTGCCTCTTTGAAGAGCGTGATTCAGCTTAGATTTACAGTATGAAGCGAATCTTCGATTTCTCTTCATTACTGTGGGACTGTGATATGAATTTTCAGCATACAGCGCCATTCCGAACTAGGCCGTTTGATGGAAATCTCCAAACAAATCTGGAAAATCGTGTAACGTGGTTAAGCACGCCGATTTCATTGCAAAAGTTTTTACGAGTCCTGAGCTTTTTCAAACATTTTAATCACTTTTTTGATGAACATTGGAAGAGCAGTTTCAACGGTTTCTGAAATATGTACATAGCTCATGAAGCAAGAGTGACTGTGATGTGTAAATCTCATATGACTGTGTTGCGTAGATTTCATATCTGATTACCGACTCTGAGGATTTTGGCTGGTTTGATTTTCTCTCTGAGGTAAAATGCCACTTCTAACGGCTTGGAACTCTTCAAAGTCCCTACCCGTAGTCTTAAAGTAACTGAGAAGGATCGGAGACTTGTTACTGCAAATTCAAGTTGAAGCCAGCTCTACAGAATGGCACCTAAGAAACGATAAAAAGCATTGGAGCAGAAGAGTTATTAACGATCAAACGAGTGCACATTCATTAGGTTACCCTGCATTAGATTGTTCTGAAAGTACGTTTGCAATCTCTAATTGGTCGCCACAGCGTTGGAATAAAATTTTGTACACGATTTTAGCCGTATTCGATGCAGCTTCAAGTCCCTTTGGAAAGTTGTTATAAAAATTCAGAAAAAAAATACGAAACTTGATCATGGCAAACGTAGGTTGCGCGCTTTGGTGATTTTTTGGTCATTGGAACCGCAGTGGAAACATAACCATTTGAAAAAAGATGAAAAGCTTCCTCAAATGCGACCGAAAATTCACACAGGTTTTTGTTCTGTGGGATGTGCAAAATTCTTCTCGGAACAATCTAGTAACACTGTTGTGCGCAAGGTCCCTCGCAGAAGCTGTGAGATTATGAGCATGACGTGGCCCTTATTGTTAGAGGAGCTGCAAACTTCAATGTCGGTCGCTTTCGTCTCGTTGTCAGTCTTGCATAAGTTTGTGAGCAAAGAAATGAAATGAATGATATCCACAGCCTTGCAACTTGTCGAGCGCACAATGCAATATGAATTACTTGACAGCTCATTGATGGATTTGAAGAAAGAACTGAGCCGTAAGACGCAAGAAATTATTAATGGGTAATTTCTTGGAAACTTGAAGATTGATGATTAAGAATCTGATTGATTTTGGCACTTCACAAACCTCGGACAAAACCAAAAACCCTTGGAAGTTCTAAACGATTGTTGAAGCATCTATTACGATTTCGTGCAAAATCGCCTTACGAAGGTAGACGCGTGCAGCGCTCGCACTCGAGGGATTTTTCGCTTGTGGCTTCGCGGCTTTGATGAGGTCCCCGATGTTTTCTGTTTGTTCTTTTCATGGCTAGTATGGCATCAGATGTCAGAGAGCTCGGCTCATTCATCGCTCGGAAAGTGAAGCATAACCAAAAATAGCAAATTTACTACATGTCGTAGTCTAATTAATGCGAATTCTCGTATATCACGACGAATTTTGAGTGCGTGAGTGCTTACCCTTTGTATGTTGCCCTTGCCCTTAATCTTATTCTGATTATTCTCAGATGAATCGGAAGTGTGAAGTACGTTATAATAGTGCAAGAAAGTTTTTGAACTTCCGCATATTAAGACAGTACTTGGAACCACTTCTGTAAGTAGCGAATGACTTCTAGAAAAGGATGGAGAGTGCTCCGGCACCTGGTCTGTCTAGCCGTCCATACTGCGTCAAACGTCAGTGTGAAAGTTTTTTTTTATATTAGCTCCTCCTTTGAAGTACGTGTGCGTCACCAGTTCAAGTTTGCTTCGCGGATATTTTGATTGTTTAGGAAACTGATGGATTTTGAGGTTGACTTGCAAAACTTTAAGAAAGACTTGATTTGCTCTCAAAACGACAAAGCAGAACATCTCATTCATACTTCTGTGGCTCCGGAAACAATTAAATCTTTACATTTATTCTGCTTAAAGTCATCGATAGGAACGTAGGACTTAGGCAAGGCTTCTGATAAGGTACCATTTGAACAAAAGTACTTTGAATTCAAAACAAGTAATAATCTATCAATCCTTACATATTCTGTATAACACAGGACAAATAAATTCTCATTGAACAAAAATAAGTTCGTAGCAGTTAATAAGAGCAAGATCAGGTGGTCAAGTAAGCTCTTCTTAACACTGCGCCAAGAGACGCAATGGAGTGAGAAAAGACAGTTAACAAACGCAGTGAGAAATAAGTTTAATAAGTAGGTTGGTTCATAGAATTAGCAGTGTAGTAAGTGTCAGATGAACACCTTCTGAAAACAGAGGAAAGATGGATCTGCGTTGGCAGTGAACAGGATTATGGAGATTCGTAACAGGCACACATGACTAGAAGACGAGGCTACAATTGGAGGCACACGGCAGAAGTGAGCGAGTTCGCTGCCTAAAAATTTAATTCGGACTTCTGCCGCATGTGGTAGAAACGCGGGACCTCACACACGAACAAATCATCGCGGAAAGGCCTAAATGAACAACTTGAACCCTATAAGATCGGTGCTTTGCTCTCATAAGAGATTCGTGTAAGTGAAATGAAAGCATGCAGAGGCTCGGGCTACTCGGGCATCTGGCGGTGGCTTCGCCGGCGAATGCAGAGAGCCAGAGCGACGGCATCGCGTCCAGTCAGTGCTTTGGTAGGAAAGACAGTTTTGGTGAATTTATCGCCTTGAGGAATGAACGAGGGAGCGGCGACGCTGGTCGCAGGAGACATACACGTAACGTCTAGCACAAGTGCGTATGGTTGCTTGGTCCCGGGAAGTCGAATGCTCGAGCCGTGGCTGTCAGACGTCGTGCATCTTGCCCTCTTTGTTATCACAGTAATTGTTCCATAAAGTTTTTGCCAGCTCATAACATGGCAGTTCACCAGCATGCGTTGCCACCATCCGCAACAGAAACACGCCGTCCTGAAATATTGCCTTACTTGAAATTCTCCACGGGAAGTTCTGCGGCACAAAATTCTCATTGGTAGGCACTGTTTTCCATCCGTACCCTTATCTTTGTTTTAAATTTCGTAATATGATCTCAAAGCCGAGCAATAGCTCAAACACAGCCGATCTTCTTGAGCGAGATTGATCAATTGTGGTTGTGATGCGGCGTGATTTATGAAGGTGCAGCAAAAATATCGATGCATAATTTAAACGAGGGAGCAGCAAATCTATCTGTTTGTTCTTCTATCTCATCCTCATTGCTATATTTAAACAGAAATGAAAAAAAGTCTGCTGCAGAACTCACAACGTCACCTATAAGTCAACGTTTCGTTACAAATTAATATCTCAGGGTCGAAGAAAGAATTCAGGCTCAAAATAACATTTATACTGATGATCTTTCACTCACCATAGGAAAAAGTAAAACGGTTTCGGATTGCACAAAAATGGGCTGTTGTGAAAATTTGGGACCACAAAGTGATACACACGTGTAATAATGAAATTGAATGAATGCTGAAATTAAAGCTCGCAGCTTTGTTTCACAGTTTCCTGGATCTAAATACGCTGAACTGAAGAAGTTTTGTTCGAGAGTGATGACACGTGAGTTAGCCGTTCAATCACTGCGTATTCACTTGCTGGAGAAGAAATGACCTATCTCTGAATGCTTAGAGGAAAAAAAGGACAAATCTATTCTCCGTTTTATTTTCGATAATATTGACCCTCTCTTCTGGAAAGGGTTCCACAACGTGTGTGCATTCAAAAAACGTGGAAACGTAATATAATAGCGTGCGAAAATATAGGGATAGCAACTTTCTCACTGTGGCATAATCACTTCGAATGTAGCAGCTGGGCAATCACATGAACAGAGCAAAATCTCAGAAACGTGACTGGTCAAATTATTATTCTACATTATTCCTTTTTTGGTGAACGAGCGCTCAGGATACAAGACTTGAATTATAACCTTTACAACATTTTTAACGTAATATTTGTAACGCATAGAGGAAATCCGAAGGGCATAAGTTGGCAAAATTTGCTATATGTTTGAGACATTCGATGCACAGGACAGATTGCATTATTGGGTCGTTAGTAGTGTCTAAAATCCAGGCAAAACCTATTTACTTGGTGCTACTATTCATTTTCGTGTGTTATAATGTGTACTTGCAAAGAATTTTGTCTAGTCTGCTCCTATAAAATAATATATTAGCATTTTATAAGACAACGATACAAATAAGCACATACTCATACAAGGGAAAAGTCTATACAATCGAATTTCGAGCTAAAGGCAATACACCTTATTCTTAAATAACCAAATCAATTCAAAATGCCAACCTGTCGCAGGAAATGGAAGACAAATCTTCGTAACGATTGCGAGTCTACCATTTTGTATCCTTCAATGCCAGTCAGATATTTTCCCACAAAGTTGAGTTGCCTTAAATGATCAAATTTTCTCATCCATCATAAAATGCACATTTTAGGTGAAATCAGTGTGATGTCAGGTGATCCAATGGGTATCATGTGCGGATTCTTTCTTTTGAGTTTTGTGATAGTGCTTTCCATCGATCACCATCTTATCTCTAACTTCTAAAAATAAAGCTCGTCGCGTTTAAACTTTTAGATTCAAGTCATACATAAAGGAAGCATTCGCCATAGCATGCAGCTATTTAAAAGCTGTTGTTGGATAAGCCAATCTTTACGCGATAAGCCGTAGAGCGCAGATGAAGTCAACAAAAGGAGAGATGATGAAAACAAACCTGCTTGGCACCACCGATATATAAATCCAATAGAATAACGAACATACAGTGGCACCGGCCAACAAAAAGTACCAAAACCTGTAAAGTATCGTAATATCTTCAGAGAAGAGCAGTCAAAGCTGTTCGCTTATTGAAATGGCAAACACCTACCACAGGAAGAGAAATATCTTTTCGTTGAACATGTTGATCATAAGAACACACTGGACGGTGTGACGGTGCACATTTCCTAGCACCTGAACACTCCCAAGTTTGTGGACACGAACGCTTGATTGGGTAACAGTGAAACGGTATAGAAGCTCAAAGCCTTTTTATCTTGGTAGCGTTTAATGCGCTAATTTAAGAGGAGCACATGCAAAAATGCATCACCTCGGAACATATTATCCCCGCTATGAATACTTTTCATCCCCTAAGTGCGTAAAGCAAAAAAAGCAGCTCCTAGCCAATTTCAAATATTTTTTATTCTCCGGAAGCCCTGGGTATAATTGTGCGAGAGCGTTGATCTCCCTAAGGACTGCACTTAACGTTGAGAGTTAAAAGAATTGAGTACAGCTGTACCGAAGCGATTATAAATTCAGGCAGAAAACGTACTTTAACTTCGAAGTCACAAAGAGTGACTCGGGGAAAATGTCCGGACTCTTCCCACTCTCGTCCATTCATTAGATCGTTAAGCACCTAAAAGCTCGTTTTAATTTTGTGCGATTGCGGACATTTGCGGTCTTGTTCCCATGAGGATGATATAGAACACATTTCAACAAGAGTGCATAGACAGACAAAAAAGTCATAGGAAAGCCAACCTGCAGTCCATACCACCTGCTCCTGTTCCCAAGAAACGTATTCAAGAGGAAGATTTGACCGACAATATTAACCGTATAGAGTATTTTTACAGATATATAGAGGAATGTGACGGCGGCACCCGAAGAACGCGTGCATATGATGAGATTTAGCAGCTTCAGTCGATTGCCGCTCATCTGAAAAGAGTAATTATAATACTGAAAAGAGGGATTATAATAAAAGTTTCAGAACATTAAAGAAAGAAATGCTTGAGTATCAATGTTTCCTTAATTTATTTAGAAAAGTTCAGCGAATTTTCCTTGTATCGCTGTACCACATGAATTCCAATTTTATCCCGCTTCCCATGTTAGAAGACCGACATGCATTCTCCTCCAGCAAACGTGTTCGAAAAACAGCGCCAGCACAAAAATTGCTTGTTTTTCGAAATGTAATCCCAAGAGTGCGCAAGCTTCAAAACTAGCCTTTTTTGCGAAGTAATAAAAAATAAGCATTTACAAATCCACCTTGCTATATGCGGATCCGCCACTCTTGCATCAAATCAAATGAGCTTATTTAAAAATTATGCAGGCAGCAATTTTCCAATGCCAAGTTCAGAGAAAGAGGTTCTAAACTAAGTTAGAGTGCACGCCGAATAGGTAACTCCTTGCGAAGCGGAGAGAATTGGTATTCTTGTTTCTTCTTTTCTCCATTAGGCTTTCACTGACACGAGTTGAAGCCGAAGTTTTATTGGGCAAAAATAGAAATCTTCGATCCAGATAAAATGAGTGGAACTTTTCTGGAGGAGTAAAAATCGTGCACTCTTCCCTCTCACATTACATCCTGTGGCGTTTCCGCTCTTTTTTGGTGCCATCTTCTGGAAAGGTTTCATAGCTGACGCGCATGCTCATGGCACACGACATGTGCTTCGCCAAACCCACGTGGCTTTCATGGCTCAAAGGTTCGAAGTTTTTGGAGTTCAAAGTAGCCACTATTTTGGATGACTTGAGAGATTTAGCACTCTGAAGAGGAGCCGAAAATCAAACGCATTTTCCATACTGGGTTTACATGCATCTTTCCCTCGATCATGGATTGTTATTGTTTCCAGGCTGCAACCACTCCCCCATGGACATTGATTTTCATCATCATTAGAAAAAGAAAGGCTGTGATGTCGAGACATGCAATAATAGTAACGCAGCATGACGCGTAAGCCAAAGCATAATGAAAAACGAGGCTCAAAACAATTGACAGTTTTTTTCTCCCATCGAAAGCAAAATATGCACGGATGCGGAGTATTCATCTTATTTTCTTAGTTCAGGAGGTCATAGAATCATTTCATGAGCAATAATTGTCGTTGAAAGAAATCGAGTGAAGATTGTTTGATTTTTTCGAACTAATATTTTACTCAGAAGATATTTTAGCCCAATAAACTCCCACCTCTATGTGTATATCTGTACAGTCTTATAAGCATATTGTATTCAGTGTGATGAATATTAAACCTTTGAAATTACAGCAAACAATGAAAATTAACAGTAAGATGGATTAATAATTTGTGTGGGAACAGCATTACAGTGCTCTCTTTTCATTACAGAACGAATTTCTGCGACATTCAAAGAGCATCCGAAATTACAGAAGCTGTTCCAACCTTATTTTTGTTTATCGACGTAAATTATTTCGATCTTACAGTACCGCCACAATACTCGGATGAAACTCATAAAATCTCTTCACATATATCCTTTTAGGGTAGTCCCGTGCGAGACATCAAGTTTTTGGGGCAGTTATACTAGCAGTTAGAAAATTATCAGCTGCTCACATCGAGACATGAACATACACATATCAAGCTTCTTTTGGAACTCACGATCTACCTAAGAAATGTTGAGTTTCTTTTAAGCAACCTGCGAAAATTCGCATTCTCCAGCCAAAGATTGCATGCTTGCTCGATGAAATTTCCGTCTAACTCAATCACATACGCAGAGAATTATGTATGGCACGGTGGTCTGACTAACCCTCTTTTAGTGGATGGAATTGAAAAGGCTTTCCATGACGTGAGTTACGACGAAGGAGCACACATAGGTGCTGCTATGTATGGTCAAATATGTTCACTACACTTATGTGATTCCCGGGAAGTGCACAGTTACTTCACGTAATTATCACCAAATAAGGTGCCCCGTGAAATCATCTTTCTTAAATGCATTTTTACTTCGAGATTTAGAAGAAAAATCAAGTAAGTGTAAGTGTAATGTGGTCCTCTAAGACATGATTAACATCAAAGCATATATCAGTATGCGTCCTGTGATTGTTTCCTCATGAGCAGCAAGCTTAGCAAATCAAAGAATGTCAGTACATCATCAGTAGCATAGAGCAGAATGGTTACGCTTTACTGAACGTCAGGGCATGCGAAGATCTCATTCTTAGGTTATTAGTGTGTCGAAATACATGCCAGAATCAAGATCAAATCAACGTTTCAGCGGTTTGTAGCCTCGAGTACACGAGAACAGCTGTTCCCAAAACCATAGAATTCACTTTTTCAAAAATTCTTCAAACAGGCATAGCGATGCATGTGCATGTTAACAAACCACGAAGTATAATTTGGGACTTGGAGGAGCATGTGAACAGCGATTACTGATTGAAGCAATGGTGGGAGAATTTAGTGATAAAAGCGGCACTTCATGTTCATCTCGAGTAACTGATGACATAGATGTACACAAATGCAAAAAAATTCACAATGTAATGCCGCTGGCAGTCTACTCAATACAAGATCATTGTGTGTGTTCTCAGACGTTCCGTACCTCTAGCTACTTTTTTTTTCAGCAAATCACTTACGATAAGAAGAGGATTACCGAGCGCTTGCTCATTTAGGCGCAAACGATGCTCTGTCAGAACAATGCATCAGTGTGTTAGAACATACAACAAAAAGCGACGACGCGTGCAGGATTTCAAGAATGAGAAAAACTTGCGACCTCAGACCCCCAGAGTCGCATACTTTGTTCTAATATGTAGCATATACATGCTTGGATTGGCCGAGAGAATGATGGAGAGCAACAGAAACTTGCAAGAAGAGCGAAGAGAAGAATTCCGAAGAATAGCGCTCACCACTTGATGTTTAACATGCAAGGCCTCTTCAACGTTAGTGGCAATGGTTTGCAGGGCACGATTACGTGATTCTAAGTCGAGCAGCCGCGAGTCGCAAGCCATCTGCACCAACGACTGCACATGTATACCTGGAAAATGACAGAAATTATTGCATGAAACAAATCCTGCAAGTCCTTTTTTCTTGATTTTGTAGTGCATCTGCGGGATTGCTGCACGGGAATTGAATGAACCCATGGGATTGACGCAGTAACACCGACCAAGCAAAAAAGAAATTTACAGGAGACGAACATTAAGGACGCGTTTTTTGGACATAACACGATATACTCAATATTTTACTATCACTTTACGAGCTCTTCATAAGGAACTTTTCTAGGTCTTTTCTGGGGGGGGGACTTTTCATACGATCGCGGACTTCGCACCTAGCCTTCGCACCTACCTCACACCTACATCGCACCTCTCCATCCACGTAATGAGTAAGATTCTCCACTACGCCTAGGTGAGGGGGGGGGGGGAGGGGGACTTTTCATACGAACGCTCCCCGATCACTTTGACCTTCTAGCGTATGCTAGGGTGCTGGTAATACGTCCAGTTATCGATTACAATGGACTAAAATGAAGTGTTTATTATCAAAAATGCGTAAACTAAAGAATATCTTGATTTTAACTGTTGTATAAAGCTTATCGGGTTGGAATAGCGTATCATAGTAAAGATCGTCAGGCCACAGCGCATTCATTTTCACAAACAACTGGCACAATTGTGGTAATGAATAGATCGCTTTATCGAGTCGCATGCCCTCCAATGAGTGTAGATTTGTCAAGAGGCGCGATTCCTATTCCCAGATGGGCAGCATATAGCACATACTTAGTGTTTTATGAAGTTCTAGAATTACTTGAAATTTCGAAAGATATATATTAGGGAGTTTAGGGATTGTTCAATCTCATCATCTTAAAATCGATTTCAAACAAAATTGTTAAAGGTCAAAAACACATAAAAATGCAGTTAGCAGCAATTTTGTAAATATTTCTGTCAGTTTTCTAGCAAAAGTCGTTAAACTTATCAAGCGATTACTCCAAACAGCTAGTAAGCCTCTAATAAGTAGTGAACTTTGTCCGGCACTTTTTGAATTTTCCCATAGCATGAAACTGGAGTTTGAAGTTGATGACACCCAGAAAAATCGCGCCTCTTGACCGTCTTACCCCTCCAATATCCCCTATGGGAAGAGTAACACTTCCAGGTCATGCTGAAAGGTCGGGGAGGCATGTGACAATACTCAAATCAGTTCAAAACTTTTGCAGAAGAGACCAAATTATGTCGACTTGAATACCAAAAAATTCGTAAGTGGAACGATCATAGTGTTATTTTTCACAGCAAAACACTTTTTGAATCCATACAGTATTCAAGTTTTCCAAATTTATCCAAATTCGCGGAACTGCAAAAGCTAATCTAGATGTTTTTTTGGAATGGAGCCAGCAGGCCCAAACCTGGCATGGTGCCAATTTTACTGGATCTTTGCCAAAAGATGATGTGGAGGCATTCGTATGAAAAGTCCCCCTCCCCCCCCCCTCTCTACAGTATACTAGATACGGAGGTGCGAGACTTGACACTTAGCCGTAGGTGTTCACACCTCACACCTCGGAATTGCTCATCGTATGAAAAGTCACTCACCCGTCTTTTCTAAGTCTTTTTAGGGTTAGCTTGCCTTCATTTGGTATAATATTGTACTGCAAACCTTACAACGAGGAAATATACGGCAGAACACCAGTGAAAATAGCTTAAAGGGAAGGATACTTGGTGACCATGCCCATATAAATTGAGCTGTATATTGATAAATACGCCTCAAGGAAGACCAAGCTGGTGATGTCATTTATGCAAAGTTACGCGAATTTTCTTCGAATAAACGTTCATAATCTCCTTTGGAAAGTCGTTTCGCAGAAACGAGAAGTAGATTGGAGTTAGCGGAGATGTTTTATGGTACACATCGCATTTCAATAGCCACGGTTACCAAGTATCATTTTCTTATGAGTATAGTCAAAATAAAGTATACAGATGTAGAGAATGTTTGAAAAATAGATACGATCTTTGTCTATTAAAAAAAAGCACAAGCTCTTACCGAGGGAGCTGTAAATGCTCTTCACAGGATTTCTGAGTGTTTGAAGAGGAAGTGTGAATACTTCATAAATTTCTTGCGCTCTTGAAATGTGCGCAATTATGGCAAACCTCACGGTTACGGAAGTATGTTTTGCAGAACCTACCGCATTACTGAAATATCATAATTGTCTGCCGATGATGATGGTTTTGAGCGTAGAGGGCTTCGCTAGAATTTCCCTCCATAAGCAACAAATGTGTCGAAAAAGCATTAATTTTTAGTTCAAACGAATGTATATTCCTGGGAATTACTGCTAATCTCTCTGCTAGGCACATTTAGTTGGAACCTTCACGCACATAATAGCCATGTGCTCGCGAAAAACATGTCTGAATGGTGGTTTCTTAAAGCAATAAAGTGTAAATATTTATCGCCAATGGTCAGCGATAAACAGCGCGGAGGGGCAAGATTGAGAGATTGGAGCGGATGAGGATGCCAAATCATACGCGGAGGAGAGCCCAATGCTTGAATTTCGATGGTTTTGAACAATACTTTGGATTAGAAACAGTAAGAGCATGCAAGGACTATTTTGAATAAGGCATAGCAAAGATGCGGTTTAATGGATAAGGGGCAAGAGGCTATGGAGTTTGATAATGCTAGTACCTGATTGCCAGCTCAACAACCTCCACACGATGGTTGGCACATAAAATAATAATGCTTCCAAGGCTAATACAAATGGCACCCATTGATAATACCTGAAAAATGGACGGTTGATTAAAAAATCTGTGGACGACGTCTGCATAGAAATTACCCGATTTGTCGATTTTCTCGTTCCGCATAATTATGCGGTATATAGTCATGTAAAGGCAGAAAGTAGGTGTTCTGCACCCAACAATAGTTCTCCGTATACTGTTCCATAGGTTCGGTAAAGGTAGCCGGAACCCAACATTGGATTGGAAAACCTGCAAGTTATTAGATTTTATTAGAATGATTCAGTGAAGTACAATCAGGTTATTGTACACTCACCAACATACTGCTTAGCTGACACAAGGATGGCGAACACTGAAAAAGGTAATTGCAACAAATTATTTCAGTGCAGAATTCTCATTTATCTCTTATTTTTATCTTTTTTCGTGCGCCTATAAAATCACTGTCACCAATTTGATTCGGTTAACAAAGTTGATTTCAGCAAGCAAAACCGCCCAATTCCTAGAGCGTATCTAGCCAGATCAGGAATACCCTCTCCCAAAACTGAAACTTTTGCGAGCTTATTTGCAAATGTGGATGCGTTCTTGGTCAGGATTCCATTTCACTTAGCTTCACTCAGCTTTTAACGGCGGGCTCAGCGACAGATTAAGAGATGGTGACGAGAGTGGCATCTTAGCGAGTGCATTTTTTTGGTCAAGGCGCGCAAACCAACTGCTAGCGGATCCATGTCAGGTGAATTTAATTTCTGAATGCAAAAAATCGGATAATTTTAGCTATAGAGAATTGTACTGGATAAAGCATTCAAAGTAATTAAATCGAAGAGAGCTCAGCGTTCTGGATCCACGAAAGTGACGACGGTGATGTAATCTAATTCAAGTCGCGATTCTTCATTTCAAAGTGCGCGCGTGCTCGTAATAGTTGAGTCGACTGATTCAGTTATGGTCGCGTCGCCAAATGCGCTCGCCAAAATGCAGTTAAATGGCGTGGTCGCGACAAATTCGCGACTCGTGTCCATACGATTTTCACGTAATGATCAAAGCATTGAGGCATAGAGTAATTCTTTCGTACCAGTGATGATGGCAGTAGTGTAGTAGTAGTTGAGCTTGTCGATGATGTCATCGTCCACATGGAACTGTATCGACTTGACAGCGCTCGCAAAATAGTAGAGTAGCATCGCCACCGGATCACACCATACCCAGTCTTACGAGCCACTTGCGCTGCGATCCTTAAACGGGAATGTGCCACCGCGAACTATTACAACAGTCAAGTAATACAAAGTTCGAAGTCGCAAGTTCAAGAGTTTGGTTAGAAAATGTGAAATTCGGGTTACTGTATGCGAAAAGCTTGGAGATATTCTGCATGAGACGAATGATTTATGGCAAGACCGAGATGATGCATGACGGCAAAAACATGTTCACACATGGAATGTGTAGAAATGAGCTAATATGGATTTGAGAAGGTGTTGACGTTGTAGCATACTGAAGTCACGCCAAACGGAGCGACTTCCCCAAGTCGCATGCACCCGCTTGATTACAGACAGAGCTGATCCCAGCTTGTGAATACCGTGACATCGCCAGCAAGTGAGCTCCATCGCCTCTCCCAGCTCTAATGGGAACCACTGCTCAAACCAGAAGTCGAGATGCACGTGAAAGTGAGAATGCGGGCGGAAGTGCATGGCGGTCGCCGAGGTGTTAGCGAGCGGCAACAGGACCCATGAGATTCAGGTACGAGTGCGAACTGATTAGGTGAGTGACAGCAGGAATGAGTGAGGACGTGAGGGTGAAGATGGAGGAGGTGGGTTTGAAGGGTTCGGCCACAATTCAGGTCTTGCTAGTCTCGATGGGGCGCGGCGCGATCGATTGCTAGCCCGAGGCAATGCACACGTGCCGAAGTCGGGGCGGGCTGGCCCTCCCCCCCCCTATCCACCCCGCCTTGGGACCACTTGGTGTGTGGCCCGCCACTCAACTACCACCCGCTCTAATTAAATGCTCCCAGGAACATTCGCGTGCTCCTAATTGGAGGCTTTCCACGCATAGAACTTCGCTCTAAGCTTCTCACCATGGTACCGTTGACGTGAAATCGTCACCCTTGGTACTTGATATAAAAATTCGAAGCGTTTTTCGCAAGTTAGCCTGAAGAGTTCGTGAAAATAAGTGCATTGACACGGAGTAGCCTTCCACACAAACGTGCCAGTACTTTCTCACCGTGATTATAGAAAATTGGAGTGAACTTTGTCAAAAGTGAGCTACCGGAATTTTGAATGGGCCATACAAATATTGGAGTCGGTTGTTGAGCGCTAGCTCATTGTTTTCTCATCCTAGTAACTTACCTGCTTACCCGATACTTATATGCGAGTCACATTTACAGAAAGAGAAAGGCAATGCTAAGCTTGTAGTGTCAATGATAAGTCTATTGTCTTAATTTCTGAAAAACCGGCCTACCACGAAGAAGATGGCTAACTTATGCGAACAAATGAGAGTAAGAGAGTCTAGCACCTAGTCAGACACCTGCGAAACTCCCACGCCATTAAAATTAGATTCATCTAGCTTAAACGCATCATTCTACTGAGCAGTCGCATTTCACCTTCAATTTCAATTTTGCTTAGTTTTCGTCATCTCCTTGCGGAGCATCGTGCATATGCTCATGTGGTCATCTTTACAACGTTTTCATTGGCGAAAGAATGGCGATTTTAGGGACCAAAAAACTTCAGTTAAAATTTTTCATGAGAAGTTGTAATTTTTGCGTAATGGTGCACCAGATAAATTCAATGGAAATATTCTCATTTGAATCAGTCAAGATCCATTATCGTAGGTAGCGATAAGCAACAATATTTGCTGTGAACACTGTGTTGATTGGAAACAGCCTCCAGTGAGATTACAAAATACACATAAAACCACTCTCAAGACAAAAGAATTTCCCCCCCCCCCTTCAAAGATCGTATTCATGCATATATTGGGGGCTCGCTCTGCAGTTTCTGACCCAATTTTCTTGCAGTTGTTCACCAGATGATAGTGGTTCTAATGTCGAAACATCAAATTCTTCTTCCCGCAAACATCTGTTTAGAATTTGCATTACGCCTCTTGTCCGATTCTTCTCACCTAAACAATTCTACAACACGTTTGCCCTTATTTTTGAGGACCGTTTAATGCATGGCTGAGGAACACTTTTCAAAATCTGTACCAGTGGCTCTGGAAAGTGCATAGAGTCTCTTTGAGTGCTCAATGGACTGAAGTATCGTGGTTCTAGTAGTGCTAGTACACAACAGTACTCCTTTGATAGTGTGGGTATCAAAGGCGTATACTTTGGATGCCCAGTGAGCTTTTATAATCGCAGAGGGATTAACGAAATGAGAATTTTTTGTAAGGCCATATGGCTTAGCGCCAGACCCATGATACATTCATAGCAGTATGTAGCGCATGGATGAAAAGAGTGGTTGGTTTTTACTACACATTTTGGAAAATGAGCAGTATACAAAGATCTTATAGAAGATAAACAAGAAGACAGAAATGCAAAGAAAATGCAAGGATGCGGTGATGTAATGGAAACATGAAAATGTGAGCTTGAAAAATATCAGTGAGTTTAGCTATAATGAAAATACTTGCAAATCGTTTACACTAAACCGTTCCTCTTGGGTATTCAAATACCGAATGTATATCTTCGAAAAAGGAACGAAACTTTTTCGAGGACAGAGCTGTCTAGCTAAGCGTCAAAATGTTGATGATAGTTGATGATAGCGACAACAACTACGCGTTTTTACACTAATATGAGTTGAGTCCAAGTCACCGTGAACAGATCGCATTTCCATGCGGGCTGCCGCAAACTTCCACAGTGTCATTTGCTCCTTTTTCCAGCAATTTAACTGCACAAAATGCATGATACGACCAAGTGAATGGTGCGTGGAAGAGATTTGAGCTCAATGCTTCAATCTTCTCGACCAGAAGAACGGCGACGAAACCATGGATGTGAGATGTAGCCATGTGGTCGGATTAGCAGTCCAGCGCACAGACTGACGAAGCCGACAAGTGTAATGTCGCGGTGGCTAGGGCTGAAAAATTCGAACTAAAGAAGAAGAGTGTCGGCAGGGAGGACATTGACAAGCAGTCTATCCGGCCCTCAAACAAAAAACCCGCACCTTCTCCCACAGTGATGACGTCTGGAATAACTTGCGAACACCTTTGTTTGGAGAGACCATGCCCTGGTAATTGAGCGGCCCAATGATTTGTGGCATCCAGTGGGGGTCTAGGATTTCTGAGCTTATTTCTGGCATGATTCTCGACATCCACATCCATTCATGCATTCGTAAGTGCACATACTTTATATGCAACGAGAAAAGTTGATGGTAAATCAGCAAAGTATGCCATCCAGTAAAGGGCTGCTATGAAAACAGCAGGTAACATAAGGTAAAAAAACGTTTAAGGACTTTGCCACTCATATTCTTTGCCAAATGCTTCGTTTTCATTTGTTTATCAGCTACGTCCAATTATGTTAAATGTGCCATGCCCAAAATGTGAGAATTTGATTCCTTTAGATGAGAGGAACTTGGATTCCCATATCTTGTTTTTTACATAAACATAGTAAAAGAATATCAGAAAAAAAACAACAGGGCACTCTATCTGTAACCATGTCCGAATTTACCCACAAAGAGTTTGAGTCTTCATACAAATTCTCCTACTGCACTGATTTTCTATGTCCATTCGGATTAGATAAGGAAGTGCGACTACTCGAATTGTGTATCTATGTCACAATGCCTCTATTTACATGCATTTTTTCTTATGGACGATAATTATTCACTATTTCTCGCGAGAAGCTGAGGCATGACATGGCACTTCCAGTGTGTCTACATCTGCACTGCCGCCACAGTGTATTGTGGGCAGATGCACCTGTTCACAACTATTCTGCACTGTTTTTCTCTCAACGGATCTCTAAATCAGTGAAAAAGAAACAAACGTTTTGCATTCCTCACAGATTTTGCGTCATAATGAAGGATGGAATTGCTAATTCACGTCTGGACCGTTACAACTGAGATGAAACAAATGGAAGGAAGTTTTCCGATGATCTCAGTAACCATTTTTATATGAACATTCTATTGCGAACATGCGCCGTAGTTACAAAATCACATAAAAATGATTTTCCCTATGCCGTTGAATTTTCTGCAAGCTTTATCTATACGGGGTGTCCCAAAAAGGTGCGCCTCCTGTTTGGTTGTTAATAACTCTCTTGTAAAGACGTCTTTCGCGAAACTTACGTAGATTTTGTAGAGCTGGCTGCAACTTACGACTAGATTCATAGTATGGTGCAAATCAAAATTCCCTCTTCATTATTGTAGGATTACGGTAGGAACTTTGAGGAGGGCTTTGAGTAAATAAGGTAATATTACAGACCTTGAATAGAACCAAAGAAGCTGAAAGCCTTTACGCTAGACTAATCAGTCGCTGATTCCAAATGAAACTCTCACTTAGTCGTAACGCTTTTTCATAGGTTATGTCAATACCACGCCAACCAACTTCTGCTATTCGTCAAAAATCTGATTATGCCATGCTCTACAAGCGCAAAAATTTGTGTAGTGAAAACTGCATGCATGAATTTTGTTACATAATTCTTCAGATTTTTCTGGAAATTTTTTTCCAAACGGCCTCTTTCACAGTGGCGCCATATGCTGCAAGTTCCTACCGTGCTCCTACGGTAATGAAGATGGATTCTTGATTCGCTTCTTGAACTAGATCTAAGTTAAAGCCAGCTCTACAAAACAGTACCTAAAGGTTTTCGAAAGATTTCATTACAAGAGTGTTATTAACAATCAAACAGTAGGCACATCTTTTTGAGACACCCGTAGTGTATAATTCTCATTAGTCCATTTCTATCCAATAAGATTGGCTGCATCGGCTTTTCATGCGATTCAAATAGTCATGTGATGAAAACATTCACTAACAAGCTCCTCAGGAATGGTTACTTTCTATTATGGTTAAGCAAGTATGTAATGCAGCCAAGTTTCTGTGTGCCAATCAGATAAAACATCCGCAAACTGTTGTTAGTAGCACGCCTCGTATAGTTAAGCACTCAACTGTGCACTTAAGAACATTCAGATTCAGCAAAAATTTTCACTTGAAAAGAGGTGGGAAGTCATTTTCGCCTCAAACTTTTATCCCACAGGTGCAATACTCAAAAGTTCCAAAACAACTGAGGATTTAAAAGAATCAAGACAAAGTTCATGCATTGGTCTACTTAATCATAGAAGAGAGAGGGATGCCAGTCACTATGCGGAGACGTTTGTAAACAGGAAGTTGACTTCTCCATCGTGAAGAGTTGTACAATTTTAGCAAAAAACATATCTAAGTTTGGATCCGCTTAGACCGCGCT